CTCCAAGTTAGGACGAATGAATCCCTTATAAAATTGAAGCAACTACTCAGGAGTGAAGTAGCTACGGCATCTGTACAGCATTCCCAGCTTTCATGAGGCAGCTTTAGCAATGTTGTGGATGTGTGGCTTCCATGACATATTTAAGGAAATGGTGAGGCCTAGCACATCTATTTAAGAATTTGGCAGAATGATTGCATCCTGAAATGTGATCGGTGGGAGATCTTCTATTTTGGAAAGTGTTATTGGTAAATACTGTATTTTATTACTAGGTATTGAATTTAACCAAATTTCTACCTCCCCATTTGGAGATGCTACACAGATCTGTATTGATAGACGAAATGATATCAGCTCTAGAAAAAGATCTAGTTTGGGAATTATGGGGAAGGGAAAAATGCGAAGAGCGAAGAGTAGAATCATCAGTGTAAGAATGGATAGAATTAGTAATAGTGTGAAGTAAATCATTGATAAAAAGAAGAGAGAGAGTAGGTGAAAGAACACAACCCTATGGAACACCACTATTGGTAGAGAAAGAGTGAGAGATCGATCCCTCGACAACAACTGCCATGGATAGGTTCTCAAGGAAGCTAGAAGTTAGAGAACAAAGTGGGGGAGAAAAACCATAAGAGGGAAGTTTAGAAAGCAAAGACTTGTCCCATACCCTGTCAAATGCTTTGGAGATGTCGAGGGCCATGACGAAAGTTTCCCCATAATCCCTAAGAGTGGTGTATCCTCCCTGAAGATAGGAAGAAAATTTAAAAAACAAAAAACAACACACAAAAGGAGTATACAATATATGGTAGAAAAACCATGGTAATCCATCAATCAAGAGACATTAAGAAATTATTGCAGGTTTCCACATAACAATTAAGATTTTGATTAAATAAGTTATGAAATCACTTGACAAATTCAGTGATATACTGTACTGGGCCTTACGAGACAATTTCTTTATCTGATATTACTTGTACAGTACAGTACTTTGATCCAGCAACATTTTTGTGATAAATATGATATAGGAAAACAGATTTTACTCTATCTAAACTCTTAGTGGTATATACATAAGTACCATGAAAGCCACTAATTGTGTTGGTGAAGAACTATATTCTTGACACTGCTCATAGAAGCAAACACACGCTCACCCTAATCCATCCAGTGATCAACTTAACTCTAACAATGTGGATCAGGTACGTTGAGCCTCAAACTAGATTTTCTCTTATCATAACTTTAAGCTGAATATTGAAGATTTAATCAACAAATATACAACAATAATCTTTCACTCATACAGACTAGAATGTAAAAGGCCTAAAGAAATTTGACATATAAAGATTACTTTCTCTGCTTAAAGACTAGCATAAGATGTCAAAGCATGCAAATGTTAAGAAAAAGCATGAACTAGCTTTCAATGGTTATTTTATTTTACCACTGAATCACAAATGACTGGAAGTGTCAACCTAATATCATACTATATGCCAAAGATATACTACTCTTATTCACCAACGAAATAGATCATTAAAAAAAACTTCCACTGATACCCAATTTCCAGAATCAAAGGCTTACCAAAATGATGAATACAGCATGTTAATTTTTGGCTAAGACAAAAATGTGAGCAGGGAGGAAAAAGGTGGAGGAGTTAAGAATCCCAAAAGTGGAGGCGAGTGACTGTAAATTATGAGTATTATTATAAATATAACAGTTTTTACTCTATAAACTTACTAAAAATAGCTATCCTTCTCTCATACATACTCACGCACACAAACAAACTTAACAGTAAGGTCCCATTGAATGCGTACTTGATGAAAGAAAATTAAGTTTTATGATCACGGTGTTTTAGAATAAAAAAATTTCAATGAACAATCCTGCACAGTACAGTTGTACCCCGCTTTACGCGGTTTCACTTTACGCGATTTCTCATATACGCGGTGCCTCGCCAGAACCGAACTTTCACTTTACGCGGTTCATCTACCCATATACGCGTGAAGTATAATTTTTTTTTTTATTTAGCTCATAAAATTCATACAAATTACCCGGCCAGAATATAATTTACATTGCTGGAATTCTTACAATTTGATGATCATTTTGAATATAAACATCATAGATTTTGCATTAGACATACAAATTTTAGATGTAATGTTTACTCTGAGTAAATATGTTATCTTTTGTGCAAAATATATGACATTTATATTCAAAATGTTCCTGGTCTTACAAGGAATCCAGCAATGTCAATTATATTATCCTAACTTTAGTCTGAGGTATTATTTATTACTAAACGCTAAAATCTAGTGTCTCACCCAATCATTTCTCAGAGAGGTAGGGGCCAGTGAGCTGGGAAGAGGGGGGGGAGGATTTGAGTCTATTATTTGAATGGACATTAACCTGGCGACTGTATTTCTCTTAAATATTAATTGTGTGAGCATACCATCATAAAATTTAGATGTTATTTTTACTACAACATAGGTATTGTGTCGGAAAAAGTGGAGTTTGGGGGTCGGGCCAGTCTCTATTGGAATTAATCCCATATGTTCTGTTGTTCCATTTACACGGATTTTACTTAACGCGGTACCCTGTGGGTTCAATTGACCTCATAAATCGGGGTACTACTGTATTTGATTTAATGCAAAAATTAAGGGAGAGTCTAGCTCATATTGTCATTTGTGGAGCCGCCCTAGTCATCCTTTGTCTTTTTGAGCACCAGTGGGGCAAGAATACTCAGAGACTCATTTTCTATACTCTGAAGTGAAGTCAGTGGCAGGCTAACCAGTGAGCCTAGACAACATGGCAGCATTTGTTTTCTGGGTGCAGTGCAGGCCAGTAACACTTGTGCTGCCCACTCAGAAAGCATTATGAATTCTAACCATGTGTGCTTCCCTTAAAATGTCTCAAATTTAACTCAAAAGTGATATTACTAAGTGTAGTAGAGCAAAAAGAAAACATAAAGTGCTTAATATCAAAGATCATTTTGCCTCCAAGATGTTAGTAGCTGCATATGCCTACCAGCCAACTAGTACCTCCAGTTTCTCATCTTATGTTCTAATCTTCCAACACTTTAGTTCCAAGTTAATTAACATATACAAATAAAGAATATAAAGATTAAATAATATACTGCTGACTTGTTTTCATATAAAACTTATAGAGTAAACTATCTGGTCTGACGGGCAATGCATTGTGGATGGGATGTCATCCAACAGGATATGAAGACTATAGCTGTTTAAGGATTGTTAAATTAAATTAGTTTTTAGTATATCTGTTCTAATTACTCACTAAATGCTATAATTACAATCATTCTTTTACCAGTGGCAGGATTTTTTTTTTTTTTACGGGGAATCACCCACCTGGGCACAGGTCACCAACCCACAATGGAGCCTTACTAACTCAATAATGTTGGAGATCGAGTTAATCACATTAGTCTAAAATATTGAATTATCCCAACATACTGAAATCACCTCACAATAAAAAAAAAATGCAATTAATTGTAAAATAAACACATTTCAAGGAGTAGCACAGTATACACGTATACAGAGGTATTTCTTGTTACTTGTAGTCATGCAGAAAAATTAGGAAAACCATAAATAGCAGCATTAGAGAATATCCATTCTGTTCGGTCTCCATAAAACTACCCTTTAAGTGATCAACCTTCAATAAATGCTTTAATTAACATTGTAATACATGATAATCATCATAATATCACAAATGAATTAAATGTACAAATAAAAACTATAATAGAATAAAAAAGAGTAACAAATACAAATTTACCTAAAATTATAATGATGATGAGAACACTTTCTCAGGAACACATTTCGCTAATTAAGTGGGACCTTACTGTACTATGTGTACAGTACAGTACTTTAATATTCAAGTTTATTGTACAAGCACACATATTCAAATTCACATATACTGTAGCATACCATTGACTGAATAATTGCGGATGAAGGTGCTCCAACTTTTCTGATTTTCCTATTAACGAAAAATTCTAGATCTTGTGTAATTATGAGGATCATTTGCCTAGAATGAAAGCTATACAGAATACCTGTATCAAATAAATAAACAAAACACCCTCCCGACAACATATCAACATGAGAATTAAATACACATTTGTAGTGTACAGTTCAGTACGTACTGTATATACAAAATAAAAAGAAGAAATAGGGTTTCCATCCTCACATCAAATACTTACCATGCCTACCAATATGCATGGAATGCAATTCAAGTTTCACTTCTGAATATTAGGGTGGAGGAGGCTATATCTCTTAACTGACTGACTGATTCTTACATTGTCATACTACTGCACACTTTCCTGTTGGTGACCACATGTTTGGATGGCATGTATAATCACTTAAATGGTGTTGGCACCATTAAGATATTTAAATATATACAACTACAGTACCAAGTACTCTACGACCAGCAAAGTTGCTAACATAGTCACATACTAGACTGGTTAGTGAGATGTCCCTGTGGTGTTAAATCGCCAGTTGGGTCACATAAAAGCTTTAAGTGATTAAATACTGTCAGAGGATATTATAGTTCCAATCTAAATCTGGACATTCATTAGGGAGCCAGATGCATTCCTTGCAAACAAAAGTTCTTTTATCTCTTTCTGAGGTAATGGTATTCTACTTGTACACAGCAAAACATATGTAGGCACCTGTAATATAGATACAGGTTGGCAACATAATATATACAGTATATTCGTGTCTTAATCTATTTTTAACATTTTACTGCAACAGTCATCAGACAACATAAACTACACATAAAAGTACAAGATTTTTGCCATGTTATAAACAATGAGAATGTCATGGATGTTCTGCTGTCAACTCCTATAATAATTGCCTCATCCTACTTTATAGGTTACTTTGGCTTTACTTATCAACACATTAAACTTTCCAGTTATTTCTTAAAATGTAGCCAAATAAAGAACCTCGGTATACTAGCTGACAAATTCATGAGGTTAATCATTTTACCATTTTTTTCTGTTTCACTGATGAAGATTTGTTCATGGAAAAAATTCAGTCATTTGAAAAAGCATGTTTTTATGACAGCCCTACATTCATAAAGCTTTCTTAAACAGTGGGATCTAAGTACAGTTAAGACAGCCCAAACATAATTTACAGTTCTTGCTGAAATGACTGACAATAACTGAAGCATATAATGAAACAATAAACTGTAACAGCAAATAATACAAAGAGATCCTAGTGTAATTGATCGTTGTTGCTTCAATGAGTGACAATAACTGGGGGTTCATTTCAGCATGAGCTAGTGTAGTACAGTACAATATTACATAATTAAAATACATACTGTATCAGAATCTGGATTATGGTTGACGAAAACAATTAAAAATATTGGATCATCTAATGTGCCACAACTAGTTCTTGGTAAATTAAAATTAAATTATGAATAAATTCCTTGGAGAATATATTTTCCAATAAATGTTTAACAAAAATGTGCTGACTCTATTCTCTCAGTATTAAAGATATAACAAATACTATAAGTATGTATTCGTATTGGGCGGTAAATTATGAAGTAATATGTGTGAGTGAGGAAGATTTTGTTTACATTTTCTGAATATTTAAATGACAAAGTATATAAAAGGGCATTTGAGTAAAAAAAACATGAGGTGCTATCAGTGCCAAATCTAGGCCATCTAGCAATGTATTCAGTATAGTGTACGTACTACAAACAAGAGAAACAAACATTAAAATTGAGTGTCTTTTCCTGAAGGACAGCTGCTGACAGCATAATGTCAAATGACCAAAATAAGACTACAGGGGGTCCCTGGGTTACAAACGAGTTCCGTTCCTGAGCACGTCCTTAAGTTGGAAATGTATGCAAGTCGGAACACATACCCCATGTGCACTATATCATAGCCTAAGTCCTTTTATAGACCTTGAATCACTTAATTTAAGAGAAAAGAAGAAATTGAATGACAAAATTCAGTAAAGAACAGTAAAAATTAAACTTTAACATTTACATTGAAACTCTGGGACTGGCTTGCATGTAGAGAGGGGCATTTGTAGGAGTGACAGAGGCCTTATTGGGATGATTGAACTGAAACTTTATTCTTTTCATCGTAAATCTCTGTGTGGCATCAGAGGTATTCAGTAATACTTCTATGAATCTTGGTGAATGTTTTTGTGTTGGTATCTTTCTGTTTAAATTTAAACAATCCTTCTTCAATAAGCCTGAAATCATCTGCCATTTCTTTTGTAATGAATCCCTTTGGTTCTGGAGTTTCAGCTTCCTCTACATCATCTAACAAAATTTGCTTCTTCAGTTTAATCAGGTCCTTATTGCTTAATTCTTCAGCTTGAAACTCAAGCAACTCTGTGACATCACCTTCATGAATATCGGGCTGGAGTTAGTTCCCAAGGTCTACCACTGTCTATGTCACTTCCCCAACATAATTTTCAGACCCCCTGAAATCGTGGACAAACTGTGGGCAGTGTTTTTTCCAAGCACCATTTGCTCTTACCTTGAACTGATTAAACCATCCCCTACTAGCAACATGTTTAGCCTTCAAGTCAGCATGCAAGCTTCTCGCTTTATCCTGAATCAAGGCTAGACTTAAGAGGCAAATCCTGTTGATTTTGATCTTCCACCCATATCACTAACAATCTTTCCATTTCAATTAACAATCCACATCTTTGTTTTGTTATCACAGTTGAGTGCATTGGTGTACATCCTTTAACATATTCAAGAATTTCCTCTGTCTTAAAAAATTGTTCCAATCGTTGAACGACTGCAACCCAACGCCTTACCGATCACTGAGGGTGTTTCGCCTTTTTCAGAATGTTTAATTACATCAACTTTCACTTCCAATGTAATTGTTTTCCTTTACTTGGATGCACTACTATCACTTGCATCAGGTTTGCATTTGGGAGCCATGATGAGGGCCGAATAAAAGAGTTAATAAAAAAAAAAGTGTTTGCACTTGATCACGCAGGTTTAGGCAATGAGGGTAAAGTGTACTGATGATACGCTCCCTCAAGGCGGGTGACATGCCGCTCTGCCTCCCCTCTACGCTGCGCAAACGAGTTATCTTATGTAACTGCTATGAACCATTGTATTTATGTCGGATTTTTAAAATAATTGACCTTATGGGACCTCATTCGTATCGACGGCCGTTCGTAAGTCGGGGTCCTCCTGTATACTACATTAATGTCTCAACACAACAGCTACCTTACTCTGTATACAAGAGAAATAAATCAAACAAACAAGCTACATCAACATATGCCTGAGATAACATTTCTCCTATTACAAAAAAAAAGAAATTTTAAAATAGATTATATACAATTATTATCACTATTGTAAAGTGAAAATAAACATGACATATCAAAATTAAGGATCTAGATAAGATATTTCACTTTGGGACCAAGGGAATGAGTTACCTATGAGACATACCAGCATTAAGCACAACCAAGACAGGGCCTCCTATTACCCAGAGTGTGCAATACTTGATGGCAGATTATATCATCCAGAGACAGAATGCAATGTTTATTTTTGCAGGAGAAAAAATCCCCAGTAACTCAGTTTACTTATTCTCATAAAAATTGGTTGGATTGTTGTAATAAACATTTCACTCAAGTGGGGCAGTAGAGCATATGCACTATAGAGGTTAAACTACTATGGTGTGCAGGAGTCCCTATAAGACCTTTGAAATTATAAATGTTTTTCCAGGCTCATTTTACTTGGCTACCATCAGTAATTCACTTGTATTATATGCAAAGAAAAGTGTAATTTAGAAATAATAAATGCTGGATAATGGTACAGTTGCAGAAATGTATTCCTACACCACTGTGGTAACCCGTGTCTCCAAACGGCCAACCTATATGACCTATATCATACGTCCGTCGTTATACGACCAATACCCATTCATTCATAAATAGTGATACTACAATCGCAACGTTACTGTTTGTTGACAAGGGTTACCACAGGGGGTGTAGGAACACATTTCCCCAACTGTACCAACCATTGGATTCATATGAACCTGACTGAGAGGGAAGGATGCAATACATTTGCTGAAGAACAAAACATATGTCTACAAAGTCTCTTGTTGTCAAGAGTTACACATTTTATGGGCAATGGCTGGCACTGACTTAGAGATGCTTAGCATTGGCAAGCCTCACAGGTCACTTGCAAGCCTCTGTAGGCCACATAAAAAAAAAAAGATAAGGGATTTACAGTTTGTATGATGTTACCCAAGAATCAACAATGCACTAGTACATGAGGGTATGTCACATTTTCTCAAATGCTAAATTATACTTTCAGTTTAGGCTATTTTCCCAATCTCTTCTTTTGGAAGTTTTCCAAATTTCATCTCACATTCTGATCTTAATTCTTTCTTTCTATTGTACTCTCCTATTCAAAATTATTTGTTGAGACAAATCTCATCTTTTGTGTGTTTTTTACTTAAAATGCAAACATTTGGTGACTGCTTCACCTCCAAGTTACAATTTGATGGCCATTTTCCATGTAACATAAGCAATTGTTTCATGTGTTGACATAGGAGTAATTAAGCACTTGAAGGTGTGGAGTCAATCGGTGGTTGTAATGTTGAGGGATAATTCGAACCCATGACATAAAGAAAAAGGTATCTTCAACACGTCTCAGCTTACTAGGTGACAACGTCTAAAGGTAACAAAGACAGAAATAGATTTAACATCATCTATACATTCATCAGATATTTTGGTCATGCCTTTACCCATGTGAAAGTGGATCTCATATGCCTGCCAACCCATTAGTGGCAGTGCAGATACAAGACACTGTTATTAAGCCCTTGGTACATAATAAGCCAGTGTAGTCAGCAATGCACTTGACTGTGTTCACTTCCTAGCTATAATGACAGGTACCCATTCACAGCTGGGTGACCTGAGAAAAAAACAGTGATCCTTGTTACAAAAGGCCACCACACCACACCCTTTTCTGATAAATGTACAAATAAAAATGAATTTCTCTCTAACACCAATTCTGGCTGTCGTATTATGGAAGATTAAACTACAGTAATAAAAAAATGAATTATAAAATCTAATTACCGGTAGATAATTAATTTATATATACAGAATAAACTCCTTGTGTGTTAATTTAGCATAAAAAAAAATTGGTAGTGCTCATGGAAGCTGAATGTGATACATAAACAATACCCTAATAAAACAGAATTTTTCCTTTGTTTGGTTCATTATACTACAGTAATCTGCAAATATCTAAATGACATTCACACCCAACCCTAATCCTTTACATGAAGTTAAAATAGTACCAAGTTGCTGAGAATCAGAGTAAAACCTTCAACATGTAACTGAACCTTAACTGGACCATGTAAACTTACTCCAAAAAGTGACTTTATGTAAGAGAACATGACACAACAGACAAAGGAGTTTGACCACCGTGCTCATTTTGAAATTTCATTCGACCCATCCGTAAAGATACTTTTTGGAGTGAGTGTACACACAAGAAACATTGATATACAAAGTTCTGGAGTGCCTATGATTTGGTTAACAAAACTATTAATTTCCCCTGGAAAGCAGAGTGTTATCCATTTCACTAGAGAGCTATGGCTATGTCAATTGTCACCAGCCACAAAATTCTGCTTATTATTCAGCATTAAAACCTACAATAACTATTATTTATTCCTTGCATTTAAGGCATGTTTGATAATGGCAGAACCTATTGCCCAAGATTAAAAAAGTAACTACCATACATTATTATATAAATAAAATCATATCAAAGACTACCTAAATAAAATCCTGCCTTCCACATAATTGGTAACTATGTTAGAAACATATGCACCATATTTTCATCACTGATTTAACATTTAGAAGTAAAGTTGGAAGATTTACAAAAGCAACAGAGTGCATTAAAAAACAAAATTGCAGATGTAATATTAACTCTTTGAGGAATGAGTTTTGACCGCCTACAATGAACCATGGTGAGTTTCTTCTTCAAAAAACTAAAAAAATTGGGACAAATATTTTACATGTTAAATTGATAGAAATATTCAATCTAAGACATTAAACAGTGAAACACTATTGAACGCTGTCTTTGTTGAGAGAGTTTTGTGGAACGTGTAGCAAGTGTGTGTGGTGAGGGATATAACATAAGCATGGGTTGTCTTCCTGATGTTTTCTTCACTTTGCCAACGTTCCAACATAACATAACACACAGTCAGGGCAGATGTGCACACTTCAGCACACATCATACTATTTATGGCAGGGATAAGTATTCATAACAAATGCATCTACAAGTTCGGGATGGAAGAATTTTTCATATTTAATATCCTTGGAAGATGGAAAGCCATTTACCAACACTCAGTTTCTTACTTTATACCCAGGCAGGAATATATACCTCACTGGAATCTTCATTGCTTATATATTGTCTAGTAACTGGGACATACAGGTATCCCTCGCTATACAGGTAAACTTCTACAGTATTTGCGATGGGGTTTGGTTCCTCCTACCCAATCGCTAATCAGTTTCATTATAACATGGGGATTCAATGGGATAGGGTCCTGGAGTACAACAGTTAGGTACTTTTTTCAGTTATTTTTGGGGGTTATTTGTTAATCAATTTATTATTTTTAAAATATGATATTGGGGATTTCTTGTAGTTAGTTACTAAATTACAGTGGTTAGGTACTAATTTATGATAGTTAGGTCAGTTTTTGTTGTTTGTGAACCGGTTTCATTTATTTTAGGAATGATATCGCAGTTTTCTTGTCACTGGGTAGCTGAACCCTATTTTTCTCATATGTTATCTGAGATACAAAAATTCACCTAATGAATGGTTTTCAAGGAACCTAGCCCCTTTGTAGAGCGAGGGATATCTGTACAGTCAACAGCAGTGTTAGCAGATCACCTGTTTCATATCATACAGGTTGGTTTGGGGCGAACTTCTGTTGTTGAATGTGCATTGATTTGCATCTACTTCATGCAGAATACTGTAACACAACAGAATTACTATGCAGGAAAAATAATTGCTCTCAATATGAGGGGAATGTGGGGGAAGCAAATTCATTAAAGATATGAGAGGTCTGGTGTAATGCATATGATTTTAAAATGGCCTGTAATACCAACTACTGTGTGGTTTTACTCTCTCAGAATACTTTCCATGTGGTAATACTCCACGAAGAGTTAATGATTGACATAACTGCTTGCATATTCGGTACATCTATTTAATCTCATTAAAAACGTCTTCCTTATGTTGTGGCTAAGGTTAACGTTTTTATACAAACAATTTGGTCTTTGGAACTATCAAAAAAATCACACAAACTTTCATCCTTTGCAAACACCAAAAAATACTGTGATGAAATATGGTCTATATAAAATATGTATGTCAACTGCAACTGAAAATAGTGCTATAAATATGATAAATAGCTAATGGAATATTTTCACTTAACCTAGTTCTAGATCCACTATGGCATTGTCATCACATACAAAGGAAACTTATTTAAAGCTTGACATATCTGTGTCTTTTTTGAAGTGTTAGTCATCCCTAAGACAAGACTTAAAATCATACATTAGTGCTGAGGATCTACTACAGCAAAAATTATAAAGAATAAAATTTTTATCATAATTAAATAAATTGTATTAGCTACACAGTTCTAAGAAACATCAATTAGTTAAAAATATCACAAAAAGTCTCCATGGAGATGCTCTGAAATTTTCATTCAAATCTCTTTCTCCTTATAACAATACAAAGAGAATAACACTTACTTCAAGAGCATCTATTCAGTCCATGTCTTAATCTCATCTGAAAAAAAGAAAAGTGAAACTATGAATTTCCATTTTATGTCCAAGAGAAAGCAAATGACCTATGAGATTACCTGTTATTACACCCATTAAGAGCGTTACTTGTCCAATAGGTTTCAGCCCTCTTGAACTATATACAGTGGGGTATGCTATAACGAACGGATCCTACTACGAATATTCCTATAACGAATGGTTTTACCTATAAAATTGAGAATGCTATAACGAACGCAACTCCTACAACGAACGCGGATGAATACAGGACTATTTTGCCTTGCGCATGAATATTGTTGTACCGCGACCCACAACAAGAGCGTCAAGCGCCATCTTTGTCTCATTGTGTAGCCAGTGCACCACTGTTATTGTTGAAATTTCGTCTTTTGATGTGGATATAGTTATTTGTATAAATATTTTGTTATACAAGTGTACAATTGTGGCAATGAATAGTCCAAAGCGAGTGAGAAAGCTCATAACTCTTGAAACTAAGAAAGAAATCATAAAAAAACGTGAGGATGGAACAAGCATTGCGAAACTTAGTGATGAGTATGGGATGGCTAAATCGACTATATGTACGATTTTAAAGAATAAAGAGGAGTTGAAAACTGTGCAAGTGGCTAAGGGAATCTCTAGACTTAGCAAAGCAAGGTGTAATGTGATTGAGGAGATGGAAAATTTACTCTTAGTGTGGATAAAGGAGAAAGAAATGGCAGGTGATAGCATTAGTGAAGCTATAATTTGTGAGAAGGCCAGACAATTATTTGAGGACCTTAAAGCCAAGACTCCCAGTGCAAGTGATAGTGATGTGCCAGTGTTTAGGGGTACCAAGGGGTGGTTTACTGGTTTCAGAAGGAGAAATAAATTACATAAGTGTTGTGAGACATGGTGATGCTGCTAGTGCAGATAAGGAAGCAGCTAAGGAACACCATGATATTTTTTTGAATGTTATTAAAGAGGGAGGCTTTGTTTCTCAGCAGGTATTCAACTGTGATGAACCTGGACTTTTTTGGAAAAAAATGCCTCGCCGTACATACATTACCAAGGAGGAAACTTCTGTCCCAGGCCATAAGCCAATGAAAGACAGGCTTACCCTCCTTCTTTGTGCTAATGCTTCAGGTGACTGCAAAATAAAGCCACTCCTTGTGTACCATGCAGAAAACCCCAGAGCTTTCAAAAACATTAGGAAGACCCGCCTTGGTGTTACGTGGCGGTCAAACCCAAAGGCTTGGGTGACCAGGAATTTATTCTCTGAGTGGGTGATTGAGGTGTTTGGACCCAGTGTTCGGGAATACCTCAGGGAGAATAATCTTCCACTGAAAGCTTTGTTGGTGATGGACAATGCACCAGCCCACCCTCCTAATTTGATGGTTGAATTGCCAGAGGAGTTCAACTTCATCACTGTGCACTTCTTGCCACCCAACACAACACCTCTCATCCAGCCCATGGATCAACAGGTAATTTCTAACTTTAAGAAGCTGTACATAAAGGCACTGTTTAGAAAATGTTTTGCGTCCACTTCTTCCAGTGATGTTAGCTTGAAGGAATTTTGGAAGTCACTTCAATATAGCAAACGCTGTTTTCTTAATTACCTCCGCCTGGAAAGAGGTTACTGTGAGGTGTCTTTGCGCTGCTTGGAGGCCATTGTGGCCTGAATGTGTCCTTCAAAGAGACTTTGAAGGCTTTGAAGAGTTAGAAGAAGAGGCTGTTGTTCATGAAATTGTGTCTCTGGGCAATTCCATGGGCCTGGAAGTGGATGATGATGATGTTGAGGAGTTGGTGGAAGAGCACAGTAAGGAACTGTCCACTGAGGAGCTGCTTGAGCTTCACAAAGAACAAAACGAGACACTGAAGCGGAGCTTAACTTCTGAGGAGTCAGGGGAGGAGGAGGACAAGGAGGAAAGCCGCATCATTCCAGCCAAAGATCTCAAGGATGCGTTCTTTTGCTGGAGTAAACTGTCCAAACTTGCTGAGGATTATCATCCTGATGTTGGTTCTGTGCAAAAGGCCATCAGCGTGTTTAATGATAATGTTATGAACTACTTTTGGAAGGTCCAGAAATCAAGGTTGAAGCAGCCAACCCTGGATTCCTTCTTTACAGAGGTAACAAAAGACCTTACAGACAAAGTGCCTGTGAGACAGTCACCAAAGAGGGCTAGGAAGGATGACTCCTCTCCTTCCACCTCTTCTCCATAATTCTCTCCTTCCCCCCCCCTCTGCCTCCTGTCCTGCATGCTGAACAACACTAAGGTAAGATAAAGTACTGTATTTTTTACATTTTCCACAGAATTTTTTCAGTGTTAAGTGGTTGTATTTGGGGGCCTGGAACGGATTAATCCTATAACGAACGAGGTTCTAGAACCAATTAGATTCGTTATAGCATACCCCACTGTATACTGTTTATTTGGAGCAGAGCAAATGTTGTACAGGTATAAACAATTATTGACCCAGTCAAAGTGAGATTAATGAAACAAGCTTTGACTGGCCAGGCTTTGCTACAAAAAGCCAGTGAATCAACAGGTAAACCAAAACAAACGCAGAACTAATTCCCTTGACTTAAATCCAGCAGTCATAAACTTGGAATTTAGACATAAGATACCACATTCTCCTGCCAGTAAAGTAACCCACTAAGGGAGAGAGCAATTCCAGATCACCGGTCTCTTCTTCTTGGCCATACAGAGGATTTAACTTTTAATTTTTTGTTTTATGGTTTATATATCATTCATCAAGAGACCTAAAACATTTACAACCCGTTAAGTACGGGATGAAAAAGATCACATGTCACGGAACCATCTTCAAGTTTCACCTCAGGAAGTATTCATCATCATCAATCAAAACTTTCAATAAAATTAAAAGATTAAGCTTATGGCTTATGCAAATTTTTATTATTATAACTTTTTTTAATTTATCATTTCATCACTTACCAGCTTACTAGCTGTTCAGGCAGTTGGTCTGGTCTTTGTTACTTTGTCCTGACCTTTATTGTCCAGTGTTAGTACAGGAGGAAACTGGAGTACCTGGAAGAAACCTGTGATGCTTGGTAGTGAGGGAAACACTGGATAACACCCTTCCCATATCTGTTCTGGGCCAAGACTTGAACCCAATTCACAAGGTGAGAGATATATATGTTGCCACTGTAACATCAACACACAAATAATAATAATGGTTATCCCTAGTGTTCGAGGATGTCTGGCCCTACAGCCACATAGGGATGAATTTGTTTAAGGTGTAGAAGTTGTCTCCAACACAACAACCACACCCAGTTTTAACAAACCGTGTGACAGAGTATCAAGGAATAATCCAAGACGACTATACAACTTGCCAACTGCCCTGGCTAACCATTACCCCATAACATGATCTGCAAATTGATTAATATCCAGGTCCCAATTACTGCTGGGGAGACAGAGGAAAATGGCATAAAGAAACTTGCCTATACAGTATACTGTACTCTCAATTTAACGGAATCCAATATAACGAACTCTCAATTTAGCGAAAGGCATTTTTTTCATTATTTTTCACTCTAATAACACCAATGGTACATCCGAGGTGCATCCTCTTTCACAATGTCATGAAGTGTAAGAGGATGCACCTGGGACGTACCAAAGGTAAGGAGGGGTATCATATGTCCCAACGGGACGAAGAAACTGCATTAACCGAGACTGAATGCTTAAAGGACCTGGGTGCGTATGTTGACAATAAACTGAAGTTCTCGGGCCATTGTGAGAAGATGACTCAAGTAACTAAATTATTAGGTCTTACAAGAAGGTCGTTCAGATATCTAGATGGTCCATCCCTCGTAACGATCTTCAAGAGTGAGGTGCTTCTTCCTGGAGTACTGTCACCCTGTCTGGTCCCTGAGATATGCTAGGGACTATCAGTTGATTAAGAATGTCCAAAGGAGGGCCACCAGACTGGTGCCTGCACTTTGGCACCTCAGCTAACCAGAGAGATTAGAGCACCTGCAATTGCCTAGTTTATACCACAGACGGGCGAAGGACAACATAATTGAGGTGTATAAACATCTCAAAGGGCACTACTCAGTCGAGTGTCCATACCTGGAGCTGGCAGGCGCTCGTCCCACAAAGGGTCACGGCTCAAGGTTGAAGAAGCCGCAAGTTCAGAAAACATGAGGGCAAACTTTTTTGGAGTGAGAATTGTGAACTCTTGGAAAAACCTGCCAGAGAGTGTTGTGATGGTACTGAGCGTGAGCTCTTTCAAGACCACACTTGACCAACACTGGAGCAGGTTCAGATACATACAGGAGCTAGTGCATGTCCAGTACTTGCCAATGTGACTGACCGCCCAAGTCGCTAACGAGCCGATCAGTGGTGAAGAAGATAAAAGTAAAAAAATAAAATGTCACATACCACTCATTTAAGGCCAATGCAAAGGGTTTAGGGGAAGGTATTAATTGGTATATCCAAAAGTTTTACAGATTGACCTTGATTGACATTAGAAAGATTCTGTCCAATGGACTCAATACTTACTGTATATACAGTTGGCACCAAGTATTATGAGACCTGTCTGGTTTAAGGGCAATTAGCCAGAAAAGCATGACTACATAGAGAGAAAAAGAAGCTTGAAGAAAAATTATGTTCAGTTTTGGAAAATTAATATTGATAATCATAAAGCCATCTATGGAATTTCTCTCTCTTACACAAGTAAACATACCTTAAATCTATGATGAACAGGAACAGAGACGGTGATGCGAGCCATCACTGCCTAACTGTACTGTATCTGGAAGAGGCATTCTCTCCTGGAAAGACAAGAAATGGGTTTAGGGGCAAATCTCTCTTCTGAAAACGGAAAAATTTCTATTCAACTCTGAATGTGCTTTTATTGCTAACTGCCTCATTCTTACCCTAAATGAGTTGCATAGTATATGATTACCAGAAATATTTAGTTCTTTAACCAATCTATGTACTGTTTTGCATTTGCCAGCTGCAGGACTACAGTACAGTACTGTATTCATGACCAAACTTGCATCATCATTAACAGCAATGCCTTGAATAGGAAGATGAATCATACAGTATAATGTTTAAAAAGAATGAATATACAGTTTATATATAAATATACTGTATAGATAAACAGTGATATGTCCATTAGCCAGAACAATTGGTGGAAAGCACTTCCGGGAATGAGAGATTTCCGGGTAATGAGATGACTCTCAAATAAGAAAAAAAAATCCTGCATCCCTGGAATTTTCTGGCACCATCTCTTTTCTGTGAAAATTGCTCAGCTGTTAACTGATGTTGACATTTTGCTGATAATTACTTCTTTGTTTTTATGTATGCACTCTGGAAGCTCTACAACAGGCATGGGCAACCCGCGGCCCAGACCATGTCTTAGTGTAGCCCGTGGAGTGATTGAGAAATTCTATTTAATGTGGCCCACGGTTCAGGTAAATGCAGCCAGTTTATGGTGAGTAAAGCAAAATTTATTAAAATAATAATCTTCACACACAATTCACTACTGTTTCATCACCTAAGAGTAAGTAACTAAGAAAATGTAACAGTGAAACAAGTATATATAGTCAACAATATAAACATTTTAACTTGTGTGAGTTTACGGGCCAAGTTTGGCACGGTCTGTTTGATGGATTAGCTGCTATATGGCAGTGGTTTCCTTGGGAATTAACTAAGGTTGGGTAAGTCCAAGTGGGGTCATGGGCAGTGGTCACACAGGGTTTAACTAATTAAGTACTTCCAAAATAATACAAAAACACGTAAATTGCACCTTGGAAACCCATAGTTGGTGAGTAATTAGCAATGACAAAATGTAATAAAAATATTCCAAGCATATTACGGCCATAAATTACCCCGCAATTGAATCATGGACCACAGTTTTGGAATCAGCTTGCTCAGGAGTACCAATACTGTGATTTTAGTACTTTTTAAAAGGTATATACCCAAAAATGTTACTTGAGTACAGTATTGTACTCAAGTAAATTTATTTTGTTACTTTACAACTAACTCTGTATATATACAGTATATACCCTGTATATATATATACAGTACAGTACAGAGAGAGAGAGAGAGAGAGAGAGAGAGAGAGAGAGAGACGTGTCTATAGGTTGTTTCATTGTAGTTCCTCATATGCCAATATTAATATTGACATTATTCTGGTGGGTGTGTCTCATAAGTAAGAAAAATACTGAACTGTAGGGAAAAATAACTGTATTCATAAACTGCTTCAATCATCTTCTGTTAAATGCCAAGAATCATTAACATATTAATTTAAAAATTATTATGATGGATTTATTTCACAAATGGGAAAAAGATTGTGTTGTAAACTGAAGATATCATAAGGCAGACGTGACGATAAACTATTTCACTGTCTGTGCTAATACAATATTAACATTACTTTTGGGTTAGGTAGGATATAAATTTTGGTGGGTTGGCTCGCAGAAAAATACCTAAATCATAATGTGGCCCATGACTGAGGAAAGGTTGACCATGCCTGCTCTAAAACTTTAAAGGCCATTTTTTTTCAATAGAGTATTTCCAAAACTTGCTACAGGTATTGTGCTGTATCTTCAAGGAGACAAATTTGAAACACTAATTTTTTAGCTCTTAACTGAAGCTGTTCTATATACATTACTGCATTATTTACTTTAATTATATTTTTATACACTGAGTGTTATTTTACAATTTACAAAGCAATTTTTGAAACATTTCAAACTCATTATCCTCACCACATTAGGAAATTTGAAACTCAATAATGTTCAATGGATTAAAAGTATTGCCTGTCATGCTTAGTAAAAGATCAATGATTAAATTGTACATCTTGGATATATAAAAATTTTATGTTAGGATTAAATTTATTTTTTTAAATTATGTACAAATTTAGTTCATACACAGTGAGTGATGACATCACAGTGACTACATCTTACCTGCCGGCCCTCAATGTTAGCCCATCGTCTTAAACACATCATGAAAGACGCTTCTACATTAGTTGCATCTCTGGCTGATGTTTCAATGTATGGAAGATCTCCATTTTCTTTACACCATGCCTCTGCTTCTTCTGTGGTCACTCTTCTCTCAAGGTCAATCTATTCAAGGGAATGAATTACTTTCCTCATTAAGTACAAATAAATGAAAAATAATAATGATCACACTTGAATGACTTAAGGGTAGATATAGAGGGTGAATGTAGATTATGTGCATACTGGAAGTTTAATGATTGTATGTGAGTGTGTACTGTTCAGGACTAAAACCCAACACCACACACGTTGTTGGTGTAAGGTTCCCTTAAATGACAAAATAATTTACCACTCCAAATTCCCTCACTAATCACTGGGCAGCCTTAGTTCCTGAAGGAAGGAGGAGCATGTGAACTGAACCTCCCTCCCTCCGTACATCAATGTGTGCACTATGAACACCTGCTGGAGGGGGGGGGGGAATTGTCCTCCCTTGGATCAAGCTTGTGTCAAAGGAAAGCAGTACAGGGTATCTGGTTTGGTCTGGGCATTAATGCGGCAATTTTTCTGAGGTTAGACAAGCTGGTGCGGTATGTGAGGTCTGGGTAGGTTAGGTCAGGTCAGTTAGCTTAGGTAACTGAGGTTAAGGCTTTCCTAACCCTAGACTAGACTCGGCAGTTTGACAACATTGGTCAAATTAGATCCGGTAATATATAGCAAGCCATTCACCCAGCTACCTCAGTTTTATAAAAGATGCCAGTGTAACACTGACCACTGAACCAAGATGATGGATTTAGACGGACTTCAATCTTCAGGATTTGCTCAAACACATTGATCTGTTTCCTTCTATTAAACAAGCAGTTCTTATTGCTCTGACATTACCCATGACAACATGCCAAGTGGTGAGTGCATTCAGCACAATGAGAAGGGTAAAAACCTGGTTAAGATCAACGATGACGGAAGATTATTTAGCTGGACTGTGCATGATGAGTGTTCATCAAACAAAGATGTGTGAGAATAAACAGAAGTTCTTGGAAAGTACATGAAACATAAAAATTATGTGAAGTACAGTATATTTTTTCTTTATGATTTATTATTCTATTGCAATTTACTCCATTATTTTGTACATACAAATTTCAAGTTTCCAAATTCCAACCTTGTTGAGTAAGTACAGTGGGGTATGCTATAACTAACGGATCCTACTACGAATATTCCTATAACGAACGGTTTTACCTATAAAATTGAGAATGCTATAACGAACGCAACTCCTACAACGAACGCGGATGAATACGGGACTATTTCGCCTGGCGCATGAATATTGTTGTACCGCGACCCACAACAAGAGCGTCAGGCGCCATCTTTGTCTCATTGTGTAGCCAGTGCACCACTGTTATTGTTGAAATTTCGTCTTTTGATGTGGAAATTCGCGTTATTTGTATAACTATTTTGTTATACAAGTATACAATTGTAACAATGAGTCGTCCAAAGCGAGTGAGAAAGCTAATAACCCTTGAAACTAAGAAAGAAATTGTAAAGAAACGTGAGAATGGAAGAAGCATTGCGAAACTTAGTGATGAATATGGGATGGCTAAATCGACTATATGTACGATTTTGAAGAATAAAGAGGAGTTAAAAACTGTGCAAGTGGCTAAGGGAATCTTTAGACTTAGCAAAGCAAAGTGTAATGTGATTGAAGAGATGGAAAATTTACTCTTAGTGTGGATAAAGGAGAAAGAAATGGCAGGTGGTAACATTAGTGAAGCTATAATTTTTGAGAAAGCTAAACAATTGTTTGAGGACCTTAAAGCCAAGACTCCCAGTGGAAGTGATAGTGATGTGCCAGTGTTTAGGGGTACCTGCATACTGAATAACACTAAGGTAAGATAAAGTACCGTATTTTTTACATTTTCCACAGAATTTTTTCAGTGTTAAGTGGTTGTATTTGGGGGCCTGGAACGGATTAATCCTATAACGAACGAGGTTCTGGAACCAATTACGTTCGTTATAGCATACCCCACTGTATTGACATATGATACAAGCCACAAAGATAGATCATAATCTATGTTTATTCCGGTCTATTATACTTGTGGTGCCATCTATGTACACTAGAGATAAGTTTTAAACATGCATTGTACATATTTTTGTTGTTAGTGGATGGTGTTGATCTGTACGATTGTGTCTGCTGAGCAAAATTTTGTATATTTACTTTAGTGTACCATATTGCAATATAAATGCTTAGTGAAACACCATCTTAATGAATTCATACAAATTTGATGCATCTAGCTCATAAGCTTGAGAAAAATAAAATATTAAGCCTACCATTCCCAACTGTGGGATCTAGCCTAACTTCTTGCCAAGTGTAGGACAAAATTCCCCCAGACAAAAACTCTGTTAGGCAAAATCCCCCTAGGATAAAAACTTGAAATAGTTCAGACAACAATTTCTATAAAAAAATTAATTAACATAATAACTATGGTTCAATAATGACCACTCTTGCAACTTGAGAGCCAAAGTAAGCATGTAGAGAACCTTTCTTCATGTTTTCTGTCCTCATGCTAACACCATGGGAGAGGTGCCAACTCTGAGGTCTGAGACTGAGAAAGGGAAATAGGTCTGTGGGAATTACAGAAGGCTTTTGGTTTGGCAGAAAAAACATAAAAGTTTCAAGTAATTTATTGGACCTCAAACTCATATTCTTCAATAGGGACTTCCACAGTTCTTGGGTACTCAATATATATGTTGTCTTCAGTTTTTTAATTGTTGTTTGGCAGGAAATAGCCAAAAGTAATTCACAAACAACAGACCCACAGATGGCTATGATGATATTACCCTTAAGACTAAGGCAGCTGATTATCCCATCTAGTAATATGGAGAAAGCTAGCCACAAATTAAAATTAGTTGATAAAGGTTCAACCATTGAAATTTTATACTGTATGTATTTTATCAAAACTAGATAATCGTAATGCAAACTTACTCTCTGCCATGTTATTCTATACTGTATACATCATCTAATTGTTTTAAACTACAGTACTGTACAAGCTCTATACATTAGGGTGAAGAAATAATTCCCAATACATCAATGGTGCCCTGAGAAGTTAAAGTTCCAGTTACCTTATTTCCAACTACAAGAAAGGGGAAATCAGCCTTGACGTCTGCATAATAAACAAACTCCTTGCGCCAGGTATCTAAGTTTTGAAAGCTTGAAGGATCCTCAACAGAGAATGTTAGAAGACACATATCAGAACCTCGGTAAAAGGGTGTTCGTAGACTTTTGAATCTCTCCTGGCCAGCAGTGTCCCAAATCTAGAAAAATATGAATTGTTTTGGGATGAGGCATTATGTTTTACCTTCACAGCCTCTGAGACCAAGGCCCCTGTGAAGGGTACAGTACAGCAAAAAAAAGGTGGGGCTTATTGTAAAGGGAAAATTTAAGACTACATTTTGGGAGTCTGGTTCCTCACCTCTTTTTCACCATGAGTCAGTAATAGTATTTAAAATCCCTGACTGTTACAATCTGCAAGATCTGCAGGAGTGTAATCCATAAATTGGGTGAATTCACTTTAATAACCATTAAAGGTGGCATACAGAATTTGATAAGAATGCATTGGCTTCAGAATTTATAGAAAACTATTAAGTGAAAATATCTAACTGTTGCCAAAGAAATATACCATGAATTGTATACAGGCATCCCTAGTTATCCAAATGATCTATACGTACACCTCACCTTGCTATCCGGAGGTGACATTCGTTCCTCTGAATGAAAATTCAAATTGTGCATCATGCTTGGCATGGGAGTCACTTGGGTGGCCATTTTGCTCCACCACGTACTCAGGGATGTACTCTCACTCAAGGTGCATGATGTCACCCTTTTTCCCAACCCAGTATTTTCATAATTTAGCGAACTAATTAGAGCCACCCCTTTCCGTTAAATCAAAATTTCTGCTAAATCAAACTTTCTATAATTTTCGCTCGAGCCAGTTCACTAAATCGAGCGTGATTCCGTTAAATTCTATGCCAAAAATGAAGTTCAATTCTGGTTACCGTACTACAGAATGGATATAGAATCCCTAGAAAGAATTCAGAAACTGAAAAGACTAATCCCGGGCATTAGGAACCTTGAGTACAGAGATAGATTAAAGCATCTTAATTTGCACACCCTCGTGAGACGTTGTGAGGGGCGATATGATCGAAGCATATAAATGGAAGTCAGGGCTAAACAAAGGTGATATAACAAAGGTACTCAAACTATCCAACCAGGAGCAAACTCGAGGGCAATGGTTTTAAATAAGACAAATTTAGATTTAGGCGTGAGATAGGTAAACATTGGTTTGGAAATAAAGAGTAGTGGATGAGTGGAACAAGTTACCAACCATCATCATTAACTAGAATACGCTGGATAGCTTTAAACATAGGTTGGATGGATATATGAGCGATAGGGTTTGAGTGTAAATGGGACTGCCCAGTATGGGTCAATAGGCCCGCTACAGTTTCCTCCATTCTTATGTTCTAAAGCCTGTGACCCTTGAAGCCAAGCTTGAGATAATCAAGTGTCTTGAACAGGGGGAAAGCCTAATGAATAGTAATGTATCAATTGTATAAACATAATTCATTTTGTTTCGATTTTAAGTATAACACCTTAAATAATGTTTTGGCAATTGTATAAGGCACAATAAACCAAAACACAAAATGCTTGGCTACAAAATTTAAGAGATAATTTTTTTATGTTGGTCAGTCACCAAACCCTAATTTTCCCATTTATTATAATATTTGTTATCCAAATAATCGATAACCAAACAACATTCAAGGTACCTAACCCATTCGGATAGCAAGGGATGCCTGTAAAGGAAAATTAATTAAGTCCCTTTAGTAAAAATATGTTCTATTAAAAAAAGAAGAATCTTACCTGTAACGTAAAAGTCTCCCCTCCAAGCTCAATCTCCTTATTTAGAAATTCAACCCCAATGGTGTGGAAGGAATGTTCATCAAATCGGTCAGTCACAAAACGATTCATAAGGCAAGACTTCCCAACTCCACCATCACCAAGGATCACAACCTGTCAATATTGAGTAACATTTCACTAACAACTTTGAATTCGTATATCTGTACAGTATATCATCCAAAATTCACTAATGTTGCACAAGTTGCATTTCAAAAATCTGAAATGCTTGGGACCAGAGCTGAAATTTTTGGTGAACAGAAGGTCATTAAAAAAAAATCTCATGCGTATTTCACTAACCACAAAATAAAATACTGTTTGATAGCTATAAATTAACATATAAAATGTATAATTGAAGTAAAACTAAGTAACACAAAAAATAAGGTTAATAGTAAGGCAAAAACAAGAACAGTACAGTTCTTTATTTATATACAGTCACTCAAAAAATATATCCGTACAATACTTGGGGGGAGGGAGTTTTGTTGATGAATTTCAGAATGAACACTGTGACTCCTGTTGTCTCTGTAGGGTTGTCAAAATCCTTTGTCCATTGTGTCATATTTTCTAAATACAATTTTGTATTGATAATTTTTGAGTGACTGTACCTACAATTAAAGATTTGGAATTGTAGGACTGTGTAGGCAACTAAATTTTTTTCAGATTTTCAAAGTTTTGGGGAAACTGATGTTGAAGTTGTAAGACTGAACAATTATTGGATATCAGATGAGAGAAGTAACTTGCAAGTATCAATGATTTACTTTAAAGATGAATAAGGAAGGTGAGAGGAATGGTGAAACATGGGAAGTGTGTTATGAAAAAAAAAAAAATTTTGAAGAGTTTTGTAAAGGTAAACATCATCTTAATCAAGACAGAAATTCCAGAAATGATGACATTTTTGAGGCTGTACAGTTTTTTCATGAGCTCCTAAAGCCCAGTACCCTCGTACCTGTAACTAAGATGAGTGTCTGCTATGCTGTACTGTACATACACTATTAAAATTTCCATTTTAAAATATAATAAAATAATAAGAGTGTTCATGGATACATATTTTTTATTGTAGGATGTTGGTTACTGAATGAAGAGTGTTATGTGATGGGTCTGTCAGCTCCATGTAAATTTAACACCTAGTCAACCTAACCGATCAACTCAACCCCTCATAAATTCAACTAGCATAAATTTATGTTTAAACATAAGTAAATTGTGTTATATAACACTCTCCCTGCACCCGATGTTATCATTACCAGTCTTGCAGCGCATTGAGTCAGAATGCTGACGGACATTTAAAATTTTTTGAAAGAGACTATTTAACCAGGAATTCCCGGCTGGGCAGACTGGAAGTTACATAGCCAGGATGTTAAGTTATGTTGGTAAAGTCATACATCCTGATAAATGAGAGTCATTAGGTTTGGTTCCTTAGGTTCTTTTTGGTTTTTCTTTTTTGGTTAGGTTAGGGTTGGTAAATATTTATTGCTCCACCATTTTTGGGATGTTCCTGTGAAACAGAAGTAGATTTCTCCTATTAAAAAGTTTTCTAATGTTGCTCATTAACCTATACACCTCTTCTAAAGTTTTTGGAAATACTGTAGGGTATATAGTTAGGTTAGGTAGGGAATTGAGAAATGTGAGAATAGCCAACACAGGCTGGCACCACTCTATTATTCACATAAACCTAAGGAGCGAAACCTAGACACTCATATAGTATACCAGGATACATGACTTTTCCAACCTAACTTAACATCGCACTGTCTGATGAATGGGGAATTGTATTATACATAATCTCACAAACAAACTTAAACACTATATTTCTCAAAACAAAGTACTGTACATACTGTGGTCTCACCTTAAGAACTGTTGATCTCCCTCGGCTATTCTGTCTTCTGTGGTTATTATTCATCTTGTCCTGAAATAATAACAAATTAATTAATACCATTATCATTCACAGCAAATTACAATTATTTTTTTACTTTTTTTTTACTTTTATCCTCTTCGCCACTGATCGGCTTGTTAGCCGCTTGGGCGATCGGTCACGACTCTTTTCCTTTATATTCTTCACCAAAAGGTCGGCTCGCTAGCCGCCCGGGCGATCGGTCACGTCTCTGTCACGCACTGTTGGCAAATACTGGGCATGCACCGGCTCCTGAATGTACCTGAACCCGCTCCAGTGTTGGTCAAGTCTTCTCTTGAAAGAGCTCACACTCGGTGCCGTCACAACACTTTCTGGTAGATTGTTCCAAGAGTTTACAACCCTCACTCCGAAAAAGTTTGCCCTCACGGTTTTCCGGACTTGCGGCTTCTTCAATCTTGAGCTGTGACCCCTTGTGGGGCGAGCGTCCGCCAGCTCCAAGTAAGGACACTCAACTGAGTAGTGCCCCCTGAGATGCTTATAAACCTCAACTAGGTCCCCCCTTGCCCGTCTGTAGTATAAGCTAGGCAAGTTCAGGCGCTCCAATCTCGCAGGGTAGCTGAGATGCCGAAGTGCAGGCACCAGCTTGGTGGCCCTCCTTTGAACATTTTCAACCAACTGACAGTCCCTAGCATATCTCGGGGACCAGATGGGGTGACAGTACTCCAGATGGGGAAGCACTTCACTCCTGAAGATCGTCACGAGGGACGGACCGTCTAGATATCTGAACGACCTTCTTATAAGACCCAATAATTTATTTGCCTGATTTACCTTCTTCTCACAATGGCCCGAGAACTTCAGCTCATTGTCAACATACACACCTAGGTCCTTCTCACACACAGTCTCAACTAGTACATTTTCTTCATCCCGTTGGGACATATGGTACGCCTCCTTACCGTTGGTACGCCCCAGGTGCATCCTCTTACACTTCGTGACATTGAATCTCAGCAGCCATTCCTTCGACCATTCCTGGAGCCCACAGAGGTCCTTCTGCAGCTCTTCACAGTCCGCTTGGTTCTTAATTTCCCGAAATAACTTGGCGTCATCGGCAAACATTTGTATGGAGGAGTGTACAACGTCAGGCATATCATTTATGAAACAAACAAACAACAGCGGGCCCAATACACTACCCTGCGGTACCCCACTTGTTACAGGTACAGATGACGATTTCGTGCCATTAATCACCACACATTGCTTGCGGTCATGTAGAAAGTCTTCTATCCACGCTAGGACATTTCCCCGAATTCCGTACCCTTCCAGTTTGATTTTCAGCCTTTCGTGGGGTACACTGTCGAAAGCCTTGGCAAAATCTAGGTAAATATTGTCGATATTACCACCCCGTTCTAGAATATGGGTCCAAATATCCAATACCTTGAGCAATTGTGTCAAGCAAGAGCGCCCCGGCATAAAACCGTGTTGGCAATCTTTTACAAGGTTGTTTCGTAGTAGATGTTCCATCGCTGCATCTCTGATAATACTCTCAAGTACTTTACATATTATGCTGGTCAGGCTCACCGGTCTATAGTTGTTCGTGGAGTGCCTATCGCCCTTCTTGAAGATAGGACTCACATAAGCCACTTTCCATTCACTGGGGACCATTTGTTCATCCAGGCATTTACAAAACAGAATCTTCAGGGGCTCTGCAAGCTCGTTGCACAGCTCCCTTAGCACTCTAGGATGCACCATGTCAGGTCCAGGACTCTTATGGACCTTTAGCCTGGACAGTTTATTTCTAATACCCTCTTCTGTGAACACAATGTGGGTCAGTGCTGTGTCGAACCGTCTGTCCTCAAACGCAGGAAGGTTAGTTGCATCCTCTCTTGTGAACACTGAGGAAAAGAAGCTGTTCAATGCCTCAGCTTTATCCTGGTCAGAATCTGCGTAACTACCATCTTCAAGCCTCAGGTCTGATACTCCTACTCGCGTTTTCAATTTCGACTTTGCATAGCGGTAAAACGCCTTTGGGTTTGACTTGACCTCGCGTGCAACCAGCCTTTGGAACTCCTTTTCAGCCCTCCTACACTCTATCTTTGCTTGGTTTCTGGCTCTTGCATACATCCTCCTGTCTTGCTCATCGTTTGACCCAACCCACGTCTTGAATTTCTGGGTTTTCTTCTTAATTTTGTCGACCGCCGCATGGTTCATGTGTAGGGATCCCCTCGTATTCCTAGAAGCACTGGGTTTGGTCTTGGGTATATATTTATCGATCAAATGGGTCATTTTACTAGTTATGATATTCAGCGTAGTGTCTGCGTTCTTGTACCTTAATAAGTCAGGCCAGTTGATACCCCTCATCTCTTCCCTCATCCCATTGTAATTTCCCTTGTAATATTTGCACCTTGGCCTGGCCTTATCTTGAACTAGGTAACAGTTAAATCTGAATGACAACACTGTATGGTGACTGGTGCCAACTGGGGCAAGGTGTTCCAGTTTGGCCACCATACCCTCCTCGTTTGTTATGATGAGGTCAAGTGGCTTGGGTGTTTGTTCCCCTCTGTAATGTGTCGGGTCTCTCACATGTTGGAACAGAAAATTATCTCTCAGAGTTTCTACAAAAAGAGTAGCAGGATTATTCAAGTCATTCGGGGTTGACTCGTTTCTCCAGTCGATGTCGCCATAGTTAAAGTCCCCCATGATAAGGAGGTGGCTGGGGTTGAGCATCGCCGCATTGTTTATTAAGGTTCTTAAGTTCCTTTGATTTAGTGGGCCACAGTTCGGGGATCTGTAGATACACCCGACGATAAGTAAGTCCCCTCCCTTTAATTTAATTTTACACCACTTGGACTCTTCAAAAACATCCTCTCCCTGTACCCTCGCCTGGCTGGCTCTCAGGTCTTGCCTAGCGTAGATAACCACACCCCTCCTGCAGGATTCTTGAGTTAGGTTCGTAAATGAGTCATATCCAGTAATACTGAACTCACATTCCTCTGGGTCGATTCTCCTGTTCTTGTACAACAGTTCTACAACTCCTACAATATCTGGTTGGTGTACTCTTAGTAGTGTTTCAAACTCCTCCCTCTTATCAAGGAACGTGTCGGTATTAGTGTACATGACATTCAAGCCAGAATTTGTTCTCGGTAGCGTCTCTGCTCTTAGTAATAAACCCGCTCCACCCACATTCTCAGAAGCTGCAGCATTTGCTAAGTACACTGTATTTTGCAGGGTGTGGTTAAAAATTTCATTGTTTACACGGCGCTCGTTCCCTCCTGTCCGGTAGGCTGAGCCGGTGCCGCCTCCCGGGTGGGGGGTTGAGTGGGTGGAGGGTGCACTGCTGCCCCCTGGCCCTGTGTCGGCACACTTGTTTCCACTACCCTCCCCCTGAGTATAACCCATGTGCACCTGTCCCCGTTCCTTCTCGACTCCTCCCTCTTCTGCTTCCAGTCCAGCAGGAGCTTCTTGTGCTGTTCCCTCTGCATTACCGTGCGGTCTGGGTGAATAAATACATCTCGAAATGCCTCGCTCCTTGCTAAGTTTTTTGCCTGCCGGATAACTTGCCATTTTTCCTCCTCACTCCCTAGTGTGATCCTGAGGGGGCGAGGCTTAACCCCCTGCTTTTGTCCCAGTCTCCTCACATCCTGAGGGGTTGCTGGAATCTTCAGAACCTCTGTGCAAATATTTTGAAACAGCACCTTGTCGTGTGTTTCCTTACTCACAGCTCCCTCTGCCTGGCTCTCTGGGACTCCAAAAACTATTACATTGTTCCTGCGCTGGAGCCGTTCCTGGTGTTCCTCCTCTCCCCTAACAGTAGGTCCGTTAATTTTCATTTCTTCGACACACTTTTTCAGAGTCCCAATCTGCTGTAGAACCTGTACTGATTCTGCATTACTCTCCGCCCCCCCCACCCGTGGCCCTCCTAATACGTCCGCATAGCTCCTCTTAGCAACCACCTCCATTCTATTAGCTACTTCCTCAGTCTTAGCAAGGATCTCTTTCTCAACTTGCTCCAGTTTGTCAACCAGCAGGGCTCCTGCTTCATCTATTTTCGTCCCTAGAGAACTCGTTCCCTTATGGATTGCAATCGCTTCATTCACCTTGACTATGCAGCCAGGGCAATACCAGCAACAGCCATCAAGCTTTACGGCAGTTAGTAACTTCCTAAACGTTGCATTAGTTAGGCCTGCATCCTCCATATTCGACGTCTCCCTGCAGTAATCACATACCAAACTCATGGTTGTTGTTGTTGTGGGGGGGGGGGTGCAGACTGTGTATAGATCTACACCTATTTCAAAGAAAATAAAGAGAGAAAAAAGTACTTAGCTACTCTCTGTTGCCTATGGAGTTGTCGTCTGCGACTGCGTACACTGTATCTCCCTGTGAATGGTGTATTGTAGGCACAGTTTCAGTCCTTGAGCAAGCACACAATCAACATAAAATAAAATTTAAAGTCTCTGTGGCACCTATGACACGACTTGGTTTCAGCTGGCACGGTGCCTTTCCAGCTTGCTTGCTAGTGAGCGCTCACTTTAAGTTATTTACAACTTCAGCGGTCACTGATGACACTATGAACTATCACTGTGTACACTGTATCTCCCTGTGAGTGGTGTATTATAAACACAGATTCAGTCCTTGAGCAAGCACACAAACAAAATAAAATTTAAAGTCTCTGTGGCACCTATGACACGAATAGGCTGGCAGTTGTCCTTACCAGCTCGATTGCCATATGTATTCACTTTAAGTTATTATAGTCTCTTCTGCATTCACTGATGACAACTATGAACTGATTTAACTGAAGGCACAGTACTACACTCCCTGGTTGGCCTTTATCACAGCCGTGACCACAACACCCTAAAAAATAAAATAAAATAAAAGCTTTGTCATGTGGCAGTGATTGTGTGGTTATAGGCCTGTGACCCTGGCTGTACCTCCAACTCGGTGGAAATTGAGTTTTCAAAAATACAATCGTGTCTAGCATGAAAAGTCCGACATCGATTTACACTTTCACCTCACTAAGACGATCTTGACGAACTTATGTTATCACTGTCCAATTTCTGCCGCTCTACATCGAAGGCCCGGATGCCGAACACGCTTTGTTACAGAGACGCAACACGACCCGCCCGCCCGCAACTTGTAATAAGCATGAATGATTGGTCGTGGAAATCCTCATCTTTAACTAAATCTGAATTTAATGACAGTCACCTCAACTTTGAGCGATTGGACTACGAGTAATTCATTATTTGTATAAATATTCCTGTTGCAACCATATCCAAACAGATTTTTTGGATGCAAAAGTTGCCTCAGAGGGCTGATAAGTCTTGCTGTCTCATTAGCTGTATGCAAAGTCAGTGGGGAAGCAAGGAAAATTTTTTTGAATTTATAATAATAACACTCCGACACTTGACACCTATAGTTAATTGCTATACTGTACAGTACAAAGTGTCAAGTTCTTGTCTACAACATTTATTGGGGGAAGTTATGATGGTTAGTTAGTTTGGCTAATAACGAAGTGTTCTTGAAAGTAGTTATGAGCAACTTTAAAGGTTTATAATCAAATAAAAGCTGTTCCTTAACAGAAGATTAGGTCATATCTGATGAAGAAATTTCAATTTGCACATTCGCTTAAAACTGGCAAACCAAATCAACCTATCCCTGTTTAATTTTAAGAAAGAAATAATCTAAGACCATTAGGTGAAGATTAATTCATCATTTCGTCTTTCATAAATGGTTAGTTCTATAGTCTAAGGGCTCGTTTACACGATCAGTCTCGGAGCACGTTTTCGAAGCATGGTAACGAAGCCGTACTCGGGCAGTGATCGTGTAGACGGCAACACTGAACCACCAACCCATCCCGGGCAGTTACGTGTGGGAGCCTAATAGTTGTGTGGCCACCTACGTGGGTCCCTGCCACACCACACAGCCGCGCAATTTAAAAGCAACGGCGGAAGATGTGCCATCGCCTACACCTCCCACCAGTGACCCTCAGGAGTCAAGGCCACCATTTGAGTGGACAAAGACGTTAACGTTACAACTTTTTGAACAGGAGTCAAGGCCACCATTTGAGTGGACAAAGACGTTAACGTTACAACTTTTTGAACTGTATAGGGACCGGCCATGTCTATGGCAGGTCAGGAGTGATGGATACAGAAATAGAAACGAAAATTGCGCTTGAACTGCCTTATCATCCGTATTTTGGCAGTCATATCGTTACGTCCTCCATTTCATCAAAGATTTGGTTATAAGTACCACACGATTTGTTCCTTAACCAGCTTTTCACCCACACAGTCTGTTTTCTTGGTTTTTTTCAGTATCATCCCAGCGGCCAAAACACACAACAGTGCGGCCGTCCGTCGCCAACTCGTCTGTCTGGGAGCTATGAACCTCTTGCCCAGCAGTCTACCACACACTGACCGGTAATGACGGTGTGGCAGTTCCGTGTAAACACACGGTCCACTAAACAGTGGTCGGTACCCTGTTCCGACCCCATGCTTCGCCACTGATCCGAAGCGTACTCGACCACCATACGTGGTAACTGATCGTGTAAACGAGCCCTTAGAGCCACCTCTTGTGACCAATGCAATCAGTGATACTCTTCATATAGAAATGAAACACATGGATTCCATTTAACTACCAGAAAATTCACACTAGATGATAGTTTCGTCAAAATATCGTGGAAATAAGCACGTGCACAAATGCATTATCTTGGCATACAACCACCATCTGTCGTATTAATGGGTAAGCCCCCTGATGAATCACTGTTGATATGACTATGATGTTTCATAAGAATATTTTTAAATGCTCTTTTCAATCAAAATACAGTCACTCTTCGACTTACGACAGGGTTAGGGACCCAAATGCAGGTCGTAAGTCAAACTGGTCGTAAGTAAAAAATACGAAGATAATACATGGAAAATCTAAAATGGGTGTCTCTTTTTCTTCTCAGCACCACAAAACTCTCACTTTTAAGCTTGTCAGCCATTTTAAGGGGAATTACAAACAAAGATTTTGTCAGTACACAGTGCAAACACTAATGTAGGGACTCGAAAATACGTAATTTGAAAATTTTTTGGTACAACTGGGGCGGTCGTATGTCCGGGTGGTCATAAGTCGAGTAGGTCGTAAGTCAAGGAGTGGCTGTATAATATTTAATTACATAGTGACCAACTCTTAAAGGAGACAGCTGCCATCTTATTTTCTGTTAACTGCAGGTACTTTTTTACTGTACCGTACCTTATCCTCCTCCCCATCGATTGATTTGTTAGCCACTTGGGCAGTTAATAACGTCCCTGTTACACTCTGATTGCAAACAATGTACTGGACGTTCATGGGCTCTATATTGTACCAGAACATGTGCAAGTGTTGGTAGAGTCTGTCCATAAATGAGCTCACTCACAGTGCTGTCACAACATTCTCTGGTCATACAGTATATACAGTAACTGCCATTTATGTTTTAATCTATAGAATACAAAACTGGTGAGAAATATTGAATAAAAACTTATTAATATGAAGTATTATACACTTCAATGGCATGTCACCATCTCATAATTATACCATCACCTCTGAGCTGAATAAAATTGTCTAGTGTTAGCCAAATAAAATATTAAAAGTGGTATCCCTGTAGTGAAGGGGTTAAGAGAAGTTTGAAGTTTAAACCATTAAATATAACAGATAGCCTGAACTAATCAACCCCAGTCTAAACTAAGGTGTGAATAAAAATATAAGTTAAATTAAAAAAGTTAGGTTAGGTATCTGTAAAAAAAAAGTACATTAATTATGGTTGTAGCCTCTAGAACAGTGATTCTCAAACTGGGGTCTGCGAAAAGTTTTTGAGAAATAGAGCGTTTAACGTTTGTGAGAGATTTGGCAATTCCAATTCGTAGGATATTTTGGATTTGGGTTGAAATGAACAAATGCTTTGGACTATGATTTATTCTTTGATTATTGACAATATTTGTATTTGTCATGGTATATAAGGGCGGTTCGACTAATTACCCAAATGTAGCCAAATATAGCTGCAATGAAGTCAAATAATGGTCCTACATGAATAAATCGGACTGCTAATCACTTCTCGACTAGTATTTGGTGTCAGAAGTCACAAAAAATTGGAAAACTTACTTTAATCTGAGTTAATAGATCGCGTGCATGTACCGACGGAGCGAGGAATTACCCAAATGTAGCCGCAATGAAGTCAAATGATGGTCGTACAAGCGTAATTCGGGCTGTGAATCACTTCTCGATTATTATATGGTGTCATAAAGTCAAAAAAAACTGGTAAACTTAATTTAATCTGAGTTGTGTTGTGTTAGGTTAGGTTAGATTAGGTTAGGTTAGGTACATGCACTTGATCTATTAACTCAGATTAAATTAAGTTTACAAATTTTTGTGACTTTCTGACACCAAATACTAGTCGAGAAGTGATTGGCAGTCTGATTTATTCATCTAGGACCATTATTTGACTTCATTCCGGCTATATTTGGGTACATTTGGGTAATTAGTCGGACCCATATAAGGGTCCTTGGTTGAAAAAAGTTTGAGAACCCCTGCTCTAGAGGACTATACATTTAAAAGGCTGTAATGCTTCATAGGGACACTTCAAGCACTATTTCTATAAATTTACACTCCTCTTTCCCTCTCTCCAAGCCAATTAGCATTTTATAAATAAAAAGCCCTAAGCTACTATATTAAAAAATGGTATTAATTTCCACCACACGAAAACTTACAGAAAGGGTACTCAACGACCTTTAATTAACCTGTGATTATCCAGGTTAGACATATGTTGTTATGCTACTTGTATTTATAACTTTCAACCACGAGATAAAAAACAGTATGACAAATGAAATTCTTCCCCGGTGTCAGTCATCTTGTGATCTCAGGGTCCAGTGTAGCCCAACACTCAACCTTGAAGGTAAAGTCATGCATAACAATCCTGGACCTGAAAATCCTTACCAACACAAGGATAACACTAAATACTGTTACATCCACTTTACCAGTAACTAGAAAACCGCTGGCCGATACAGAAGGATGAAGAAGAATTAAACTTTTGGAATTTTAGGTGTTAAAAGGAGGAAAATGAACACTTTCTCCGCCACTCCCACTATACACCTTCTCTAAGATTTGTTTACACTTTTCATGTCAGATGATCTAGTGAGTCGAGAGAAAACGGCGGCACAAAACCTCCAGGGGGTCACGTACATAGATTGATGGATATTTAGTCTTTAAAGATTGTCATAAAAATTCACATTTATTCAACGTGTAAACAGTAGAATTGTAAAAAGTATCAAACTTTGTAACTTAATTACAATTATTGTTACACTGGCAAAAGTTACTCAAGTAGATGTAAAAATATCCAAAGTTCAATGTATTCAGGTACAAGTAAAAAAAAAAGTTTCTCATTCATAAAGGACTCAAGCACTGAAAAAAAAAGTAACAAATAAAATTATTAAAAAAATCCAGTTAGTTACGCAGATTCTGACCAGGATAAAGCTGAGGCATTGAACAGCTTCTTTTCCTCGGTGTTCACAAGAGAGGGTGCGATTAACCTCCCTGCGTTTGAGGACAAACGGTTCGACACAGCACAGGCCCACATTGTGTTCACAGAACAGGGTATTGAAAATAAACTGTCAAAGCAAAAGGTCCATAAGAGTCCCGGCCCTGACATGGTACATCCTAGAGTGCTAAGAGAGTTGTGCAACGAGCTTGACGAGCCCCTTGAAGATCCTGTTTTGTAAATCCCTGGATGAACAAATGGTCCCCAGTGATTGGAAAGTGGCTTATGCGAGTCCTATCTTCAAGAAGGGCGATCGCCACTCCACGAACAACTATAGACCGGTGAGCCTGACCAGCATAATATGTAAAGTACTTGAGAATATTATCAGAGATGCTGCGATGGAACATCTACTACGCAACAACCTTGTAAAGGATTGCCAACACGGTTTTATACCGAGGCGCTCCTGCTTAACACAATTGCTCAAGATATTGGATATTTGGACCCATATTTTGGAACGGGGTAGTAATATCGGCATTATATACCTAGATTTTGCCAAGGCTTCCGACAGTGTATCCCATGGAAGGCTGAAAATCAAACTGGAAGGGTACGGAATTCGGGGAAATGTCCTAGTGTGGATAGAAGACTTTCTACGTGACCGCAAGCAGTGTGTGGTGATTAATGGCACGAAGTCATCATCTGTACCTGTCACAAGCGGGGTACCACAGGGGAGTGTATTGGGCCCGCTGTTGTTTGTTTGTTTTATAAATGACATGCCTGACGTTGTACACTCCTCCATACAAATGTTTGCCGATGACGCCAAGTTATTTCAGAAAATCAAGAACCATGCGCACTTTGAAGAGCTGCAGACGGATCTCTGTGAGCTCCAAGAATGGTCGAAGAAATGGCTGCTGAGATTCAATGTGCGAAGTGTTTGAGGATGCACCTGGTGCGTACCAACGGTAAGGAGGCGTATCATATGTCCTTGGCTGTATATATTAGCCTTGTCAAGTATTTGTCCTTAGTCTGTACTCACTCCTGAAGATGTGAATTACACGAAAGCGCTTGGGAACTTCGTGTTTTCTTGTTTCCTTGTGGTTATCAGTTATTTTGTGGGTCCCTTTTTTCTGACCTGACCTGGCTAGTCACGTCACCACCCTTCTCTTAAGCTCCTCTACGTGTGTGTTGGTGTGGGGATTAGTGGATGTCATCATTATGACCTGACCTCATGTTTTTAGGTCACCCTGTATATTTAAGCCTCTCTCTGTCCATGTAATCCAGTTGCCTCTGAAGATGTCTTGAATAAAGACAATAAGAATACTCCGTTATTTCCATTTTCACGGAGATTTTATCACTGAATTTTATCACGTTTTCATTAATGGTTACATGAGATATATATATATATATATATATATATATATATATATTAATTTGACGAATGAAAAGAGATTAAATAGGAATCAAATTCTTAACATCAGACACATATCTGAATATCCGTTTTCGTTGTTGTATATTCCACAATCTATTATTATCATTATGGGGCCTCATTGCAGTGAAGGTACTTTTACGATACCAGGCTGCCAGACGTATACGTATGGTCAGCCATGAAAAGAATGTCAAACAAAACCTGGAAGGGTGAAACGAATACTTGCTAATATAAATTGATAGAATTTACTGTAAATTCAACGTTACCGACATATGACACATGTTTATTATATTTACAAAATGAACTGCAAAGTGGAAAGAAGGGAACCTGTACGAGAGATTTTACACAGGTAAGGAGGATGAGGCGAAAGGTTTACACAGGAAGTCAGGCCAGTGTGTATCATGAGTTATACAACCGTGGGTTTACTGTGAAGGGAGGGGGTGAATGTAGCAAGTATTTCACACAAGGTAAGAAGTGTTATAAGGCTTAAGTAAAATGCTTGGCAATGCTAACGTGAGACTAATCTTGGCGTCCCACAATGTGAATATGGAGTACCCAACCTGTTTTATCGACTTGAATTAAGTTTATATGTGCCCTTTTTGGAGGAATTTAAAAAATATATTAATTTTCTCTCATAATTTTCAATTGCCGTAGGATTATCGTTGTGTAATTATAAACATTTACTTATTTACATACCTAATATACGGAACGGTTATCGTGATCATACCTAGAGGTGACCATGGCGGGGGAAGGAGCCTGAAGTAATGATTGTACGTGTAGGATCCCAGTCATTCTGGAATATATTGTCCAGGCAGATTTTAAGGCTTAGTACTAATTTCGTTTCCACTACAGTAGTTGGCAGACTGTTCCATATGTTGAACCTTTATGGGTGCAGCTGCGCACTTTTGTATTTCATTCTGGCTAATGCCAGACGATTTTATTCAGCCGGGAGATTTTATTCAGCCGAGAGAAACCCCTCCTGTCCTGTAAATGGTTAAAGATTTTAGTTTTCATTTGTATAAACGCAAATGCTACCATAAATTACTAACTGTAAAAGTTTATATATTCTTTCATACACTCTTAAGTAATTATCAGTGCATTCTACAAAATAACTTGTCTTACTTGTAATTGTAACTTACATTGCATTTTAGCTGTAAATATGAGGTACAATACCCGATAAGGGTTAAGTATTCTGTTTTTGGAGAGAATTATTTTAGGGTCCAGAGGCTGCATGACATTACTGCTTAGAGTCTCTGTGTATACGTGTACAGGAGACGTTAATAGTGTGATATTCAATCGAGAAATTACTAGTGTTATGTTATCTGTGAACTCCAAGAGAACTCGGAAACGATATATAAAAACTCACATGGGTTGGAGAGAGAGAGAGGTAAAGAATATAAATTGAGAGCCAGAGGGAAGAAGAAGATAATAACAAACGAAAAAAAGAAAGTAGGGAAATAATAGGACACAGCAGAGACGAACTAACAGAGGCAGAGGTGGAATCAATCTCTTTATTTTGTCTCACATGAAAGTCATCCCAGAGGAGTAAACAAAGAACACCTTTAGGCTGGGTTATCGACAATCAAACAGGTGTGGCTGGAGCTCATAAGGGCTACAGTCCTAAACGGCCCCCAACCAAACCCTAACCTACTCATTAACATCCATGACAACTAAGGTTATTAAAACCAGGGCCCATTAAACCTGGTCCCTAAACTTAAAGGCTAGATTGTATTTAAAAGATAGGATGGGGTCGATTATTTAAAGGCAAGGATGGGGTCAAATATTTAAAGGCAAGGATTTGGTCGAGTATTTCAAGGATAGGTTGGGGTGGATTGTTTAAAGGGTAGGATGGAGTCCTGTACGACGGGGAATAAATACGACTAAGACTTATTCCACCACTCTCCCTTCAAGGAAACACCGGGCATTAGGAGGTAAGTAAACACACAATCAGGATGTGACGCCGCAAAAGGAAAGAATAGCCAACCACACGGAGCAGCCTTCAGTGTCATAACCTTTATCTTTGACAATTTGTTTATTATACTCTCTTCTGAGAACATAATGTACTTGAGCGCTGTGTCAAACCATCTTTCCTCACACGCAGGGAGATTATTCGGTTCTTTTGTGAACACTGAGGAAAAGAGTTTGTTTAACGCCTCCGTTTTTCCCTAATCTGAGTCTGCGTAACTAATATCTTCAAGCCTCAGAGCTGATATTCCCACACGTGCCTTTGATATCTTTCGTAAAGATAGAAAGCCATTGGGTTTGACTTGACCTTGCTTGCTATCCGTCTTTGGAACTCTTTCTCGGCCTTTCTGCACTCTGACTTTGCTTGATTCCTGGACCTGGTATACATCCTCCTGTCATGCTCATCATATGTCGCGACCCACCTCTTGAATTTCCGAGATTTATATTCATTTTGTCAACTGCTGTATGGTTCATTGGCGACGGTCTCCTTGCATGCCTGGAGGCACTGGGTTTGGTCTTGGGTATATATTTATAAGTCAAATAGTTTACTTTCCTGGTTAACATATCAGGATAGCATTTGGGGTCTTGTTTATCAGTGAGTCATTTCAGTTCTCACCCCTTATCTACTCCCTCATTCTGTTCTAATCGCCATTGTAATATTTGAACTCTGGTGCTGCATTTATCATGAACCAAGTAAATGTTAAATCTGAATGACAAAAATCACATATTGATTGTCGCCACTTGGCCACCATACCCTCATCATTAGTTATGATGAGGTCTTGCAGTTTGTGTGTTTGTTCCCATATAAAGAGAGTCGGATGTTTGACATGATGTAAAAGGAAATAGTCTCTCATTGTTTCTACAAAAACGAGTTCAATTACTTTATGACAAGGGGGCGTTACGTTGTCAATTAAGACTTTTTTGTTCCTTCGGTTTAATAAGATACATCTCTCCCGTGAGGAAGCTTTGTCTTCACTGGTATGTAGAATTACCGTAACAATATTTCAAACTTCAACTTGGAAAACTTTGTTGTGTTCTTCAGCCATACACACACATTCCCTAATACAAAAAATAATTAAATGATCATGTATAGTACAGTAGACATGTATTGGCTTGTCTTGTATCGATTAATTGCTATAAAATTAGACACTACAGCGTTACAACTTTTATTTACATTGATATACAGTATACTGGACAGATGACAGCAGTAGTTGGGATTACGGTGAAAATAGTTTGGGAAATCCCGCCCTATAACATCCTGGATCATCCTAAACCCTAGAGTCACTAAGTCCAACATCAATGAGTTGAATAATCGCAATGGTGTTTACACTTTCTCTTTACTGAAAGCACTTGGCTGAAAAATACACGTTGCCTCTCTCTCTCTCTCTCAATAGTACAATGTCAAATCATACATAATGTACTACCTTACATTATGTGACTAGACTACCTTGAATTATACTGTATATACTGCGTTATATTAAATTATGTGCACTGTGCTGTGTTAAGTCATGTACTTTAATAACGTATCTATACTGTATTATGTATAGACAAGAAAAAGTCAAGTCTGTTAGCTAAAATTTCTAAGTATCTTCAGTAATATGTTCAGTATTAAATTCAATTAGAGTTCTTCAAGCATCTATCTGGTGATGCTGAACTAATACTAATTCTAGTATCCTTAACATGAACGCCAGGCCAGAGGGGGACACTAGACGAGTTCCATATGTTGATGCGTTACTAATGTCCCTTTGTTGTTGTGCTTTCGGTGATATTGGTAAGGTATATTTTAGTGGTACCGCTGATGTTTTTGATGTTGGTGATATTGGTAAGGTTTATTTTAGTGGTACCGCTGATGTTTTTATGTTGGTGATGTTGTTAAGGTTTATTTTAGTGGTACCGTTGATGTTGGTGATGTTGGTAAGGTTTGTTTTAGTGGTACCGTTGATGTTCTTAATGTTGGTGATGTTGTTAAGGATTATTTTAGTAGTACCGTTGATGTTCTTAATGTTGGTGATGATGGCAATACTCATATTACATATACTAGTGATGTTGAATTTTTTAATGTTACTGAAATTAATGTGTTTGTGGTGATGTTGATAATATAGACAATACTTACGTTAGTGGTAAAAGTGATGTTTTTAATGGAGATGGAAAGACAGTACAGTATAGTATTAAAGTGTCCCATATCAATAAATGGGTTAAAATTACGTACGAGCTATAGTGAACTAATTTCGTTGTATTCGTTTATAAAGATTTTAATACAAGAACTTAAAATGCAATTCGAATCTGAATAACTATACCTGTAAGTATGTCGGAAATTTTATGTCACATTATCTTATTCATTTGATACTATTAAGGATTTTAATATGATGACCCGTGCCACAAACGCCGCTATGCAAAGTCGAAATTGAAAACGCGAGTAGGAGTATCAGACCTGAGGTTGGTGGATGGTAGTTACGCAGATTCTGACCAGGATAAAGCTGAGGCATTGAACAGCTTTTTTTCCTCGGTGTTCACAAGCGAGGGTGCAACTCACCTTCCTGCGTTTGAGGACAGACGGTTCGACACAGCACTGACTCACATTGTGTTCACAGAAGAGGGTATTAGAAATAAACTGTCCAGGCTAAAGGTCCATAAGAGTCCCGGCCCTGACATGGTACATCCTAGAGTGCTAAGAGAGTTGTGCAGCGAGCTTGCAGAGCCCCTGAAGATCCTGTTTTGTAAATCCCTGGATGAACAAATGTTCCCCAGTGAATGGAAAGTGGCTTACGTGAGTCCCATCTTCAAGAAGGGCAATCGTCACTCCACGAAGAACTATAGACCGGTGAGTATGACCAGCATAATATGTAAAGTACTTGAGAGTATTATCAGAGATGCCGCAATGGAACATCTAATACGAAACAACCTTGTAAAGGATTGCCAACACGGTTTTATGCCGGGCGCTCCTGCTTAACACAACTGCTCAAGGTATTGGATATTTAGACCCATATTCTGGAACGGGGTGGTAATGTCGAAAATATTTACATAGATTTTGCCAAGGCTTTCGACAGTGTACCCCATGAAAGGCTGAAAATCAAACTGGAAGGGTACGGAATTCGGGGAAATGTCCTAGCGTGGATAGAAGACTTTCTACATGACCGCAAGCAGTGTGTGGTGATAAATGGCACGAAATCGTCATCCGTACCTGTCACAAATGGGGTACCACAGGGCAGTGTATTGGGCCCGCTGTTGTTTGTTTGTTTCATGAATGACATGCCTGACGTTGTACACTCCTCCATACAAATGTTTGCTGATGATGCCAAGTTATTTCGGGAAATTAAGAACCAAGCGGACTGTGAAGAGCTGCAGAAGGACCTCTGTGGGCTCCAGGAATGGTCGAAGAAATGGCTGCTGAGATTCAATGTCACGAAGTGTAAGAGGATGCACCTGGGGCGTGCCAACGGTAAGGATGCGTATCATATGTCCCAACGGGATGAAGAAACTGCACTAGTTGAGACTCGGGCCA